TTACCATATAATTTTATATATTTATTTGTATCTACTGTTTACATTCCCAGTTTATTTTCTTTTGTTCTATCTGTTAATCTCTCCATTTTTAAGTTTTTCACCCTTTGCTCGTTCTTATATTGGTTCACCTTATTAATCATTACTGTCTGTATTTCTTTATTTAGTCATTATGAAAAGAAACTGTTTCTCATTCGGCTCAAATAAGAAGCCTCGCGTTTCATTAATGCCCACTGATTCAAATCGTGGTCCTTCAACTGATTTGACTGATTTGACTCACGAGTCTCCTTCATTTCTCCCTCGGCCTACCTCAGGTTTAGTTCATTATTTGTCCGTGCCTCCTTCCGTGGGATTATATACAGGTAGTATACCCATACTTGAGCACTTCCGCCTAATATATCCTGAAGTAGTGTTTGATGGTTTTATGAATTTAAGTGGTTTGTCAGTTCCTCATGAAGTGCAAATACTTTTAAGCTTCGGTCCTAATTATTCTCCTCCTGCCCTTCCTGACATTTCTTCCTATATGGTGGGTTTGGAACGGTATTATGATGGTTATATTGAACATGGGATACTATTAAGTATGTATGATCGGACTTAATTAGAATCACATTATTCTTTGTTTGTGGATGCTATGTTAAAGCATCAGACCCCCTCTTTGCATCATAGAATGCTGTCCCATATATACCAGGTAACACTGGCTTTCTTGTAAAAACATAATGATTTAATCTTGGTTCAGGCCGATAAAAGTAAGACAACCATATTGATGTCTCGTTCTGATTATATTTCGAAGATGGATGCTTGGCTCTCCTCCTATATGTCTTCCGGTGCTTGTATCAAGTTTACTGGTAATAAAGATATGTTGTTGAGACGCTTGCTTGCCTTGTATAGAAGAGTGGTTTTACCTCTGCGTCATTTGTATGCCTTGAATCCTTCCATTTATCCCTCCAACATACACAAAGAATTACTTGTTAAATTACAGGACCCACCTCAGATTTCTTATTTGTATGGTTGCATAAAGACCCACAAACCAGATTTTCCCATTCGTCCAATTTGTAGCCCTATTAATTGGTACATTGGCCCTTTGCATAAACTATGCACCTATTTTTTAACAGAAATTTTGGGAGATAGGTTGTCTACTCATAATCTCAAAAATATGGATGATTTGACCGGTCATCTCTTAGATCTAAGCCCTATTCCTGATTATGTGTTTGTGACCTTGGACATAAAAGAA